ATGCATAGTTGGGGGTTGGTGTAGGCCAAAAATTTCCGAATGACGAAAAAAATTTCCGAATATTTCATGGCATACGAAGCCACGAAGGTGTTTGCTATCCGGAAAATAAAAACGCAATTTACAAACAAAAATACTCATATTTTACGCACAGACATTGCAGAAGCGTGCAGTTCCGTACAGAAGCGTGCAGTTCCGTAGGAAGTTCTTTTTGGTAGGGGGTGGCGAGGGCCGCAGGCCCGAAGAAATTTTTAAATTTAGAGTCTCTGAAATGCCATTTCGTGGACTTTGGGGGATGTTTTGACAGAATTTTGATGGTCAGAAAACAGACTTTTAGCACGTCGAAATTTACAATTAATTTGCTTATAATTTAGAAGAACTAAATGGGCGAAAGCGTATATGGGTAATACGATTCTTTGCGGTTTGTCATGGGTAATGTAGCCGCTTAAAATTAATCAATTGTCAGTATTTTAAAGATATATTGAGGACTGTCCCCTCCCCCCCCCCTGGGAAGTAATAAACCGAAAAACATTTACCGATCTACGATTTGTTAAATGTTATCCATATAAATGCCGTGATTTTGTAAATCAGTTTATGATGCTGACAATACATGCAATTTTATAATATTTTCTCTGTTTAAACAACTAAAATTTTGTTATACTATTACTGCCATAATTTTCCGAATGACCAACCTGATTTTCCGAATATGTTAATTCTAAAAAAGTTGGGGGGGGTTAACCACCCCCCAATACCCCCCTTCGCTACGGCCCTGCGATAAGCATATGCATTTTGTTACCAAAGAGTTTTAATTATGTGCCTACTGCAATCAAGATTTATTCAAGAAATTCAATCAGTGAACGACGCACTGGTTTATCTGAAATCACGGAGCGAAAAATTGTTTCCACTGACTAGGCGATGTTTCCAATTGTTGCTTACATTCAGGTTCATAACTAGGTATACGAGTCAATTGAGTTCAAGTTCAATGACAGACTGTATAGTTCTCTCTATGTAAAGAAGCATTATTCTTGCCCTACAGTGACGTAAGAAATGGGAGGCTGTATGGGTGCACAAATACCCCAATAACAGAAGTGCGGGCCAGCGCCCAAATATTATTACAACAATTGAGCACAAACACTTTTTTATTATGCACCTGATCAATTATGTTCGACCAAAAATATTTGTAATTCTTAGCCTCAGGATTGGGGGAAAACTACAGTATAAAATTATAGTCATTGTGTCGCTGTTTATGAAATTGATATTTCGTTTGAACTGCTCCCAGAATGCAGGAAATAGCGTTTCTAAGCCTTAGAAAATCAAAAATTTTCTGGGGGAGCATGCAGACCCCCCCCCCCAGAAGTGTCTCGGTCAATCAAAAATCCTATAGTTACGCGCCTGACAGTTCCTGTAACATCCGCATCAGCCGAGCGCAGCTTTTCAAAGCTGAAATCAGTGAAAACTGTTATGCGTTCAGTAATGAACCAGGAACGCCTTGGTGAACTCTTGACTCTTTGCGTGTGAGCGCGATCTAACAGACACGATCGATCTTGACGAAATCGCTAATCCGTGGTCAAACCTGACTAAGCGCAGACAAATATAACGTTTCACAGCAAACTGTACGTGCATGTTCTTGCAAAATTCCTAATAAATGCCATCAATTTCCATGCTTTGTACTCAATTTTATTGCAACACACCAACTCACCAAGAGTCGGTCTGGATTCACATTTCAGTGGTGAGTCGGTCTCATTTCGTGATTACACCCTCCCAGTCAAAATCGATATGTCCGCCCCTGCGAGAACCTCTGGCACCATAGACTGGCACTAACTTGTTTAGTCTAGCCTGGCTATCCACTTACAAATGTTTAAAATTTAAGGTATTTACAACAAAATATTTAGCATTTTTAAAAATACATATATCAGATAAATTAAAGACAGGACACGAGATTCACAAAGCAAGTTTCAAGTTACTAGAATATCAAACCTCCCTTCTAATTCTAAATTCCATTTTTCTTCCAATTCTTTGCTTATAGTTATAGTTAGAGAAAAGGGGAAATGTAGGGGATAGTTAGAAAAGGGGATAGTTAGAGAAAGGGGAAAATGATTGAGTGGGGACCACGATGGGGGCTGGGGCCCCTCAGTCATATAGTTAAGAAAGGCCCTGTGCCAAAAGGCATCAACAGCAAGACGTCTTCGTCCTGTGTACCCTAGTTGACTGAGTTGTGGTATTTACATAACTTACATGTACTTAAACTCGGAAGGTTCAGTCGGGGGGGATAGCTTTCGTCCCCCCCCCCAAAAAAAAATAATTGAATTTAAAAAGATATTGCAGCGAAATATTTTAATCAATGAAAGGGTCTAACGAGGTAGGGAAGACTCTGAAAATGCCATTTCCGACAATCTAGAGACTCCAAATTTTCAGCTTTTCCCTCTCGCCGCCAACCATGGTGGCGCCTCGTGGGAGTCTGCCCCCCCCCCCCCCCCCTAAGTTTATCAAGCTCCCTACGCCCCTGATCTACAGCATCAGTTTAAACGCTGTATATCCAAAAAAATTGTTTCAGAAAACGCACAAAATGCAGTTCGATCTATAGGGGTTTAATTGTTTAAAAATACAAATATTCGATCCTTCCCCCCCAGACACTCCTAATATTACATGCGACACCACACTAAACTTTTTTTTACCAACAACCATCAATCTGTCATCTCTTCACGCTCAGTATGACATGGTCTCTTTTTGTAGATGGCCCCCGGATAAATTCTTAAAAGAGGCCCTGTTCTGGCAACGTCATGCCCATATTTCAGTAATTTCACCGTTGTTTGCGTCATGCACTGATTCTATCAGCACAAGTTACAAGTACCTCAAAATGTCCACAAATAAGTTGCTGCTTTCAGACATCTATTATCTGATTTAGTAACTCAGTGAATAATAAAGTTCTTCACAACTGCCCTTTGTATATTTAATTATATATATTTTCAAGAATCGTTGATATATTAAATCAGAAATTTATACATTCTTCAAAGGAGTATATTTTCAACTTATTTGGTTAGGAAATACTGGCTTCGCTCTATCATTCTGCCACGAGTGATTTGCTGTCAATCAGATCAGAAAATGATTGCATGATTTGCATCTGGCTACAGTGCGTACTATTCTTTACACAGCAGCTGAAACGCTACTCCCATGCGGCCATGCCATGCGAGCCAATGGTTCGGGCCTCGATTATCAGCACGATATGGGCGTGGGCCCAGTGCCAGGGCCTAGCCTGTTTCCTAGCCGCCCGTGATTGGTCATGTATGGGAATTTCGTTAACCGTGAAGCCGTTGAAACGGGTCAGTCTGAATATGTTTTTCTCCGCTGTGATACCTAGCTAGAATTATATTTAGCAAGTGGCCATTCCTCCTTAGAATCTTTCTAACTAGCAGGCGATCATTTTGAATTGTTACCAGACAATGGTAAGGTCACTTCTCAAGATCACTTCTTTAAACAATTTTCTGATGTAATAAGCAGTTGCAACTTGATTTTAATAGTTCGAGTGAGTGATTGCGCCAAAACATGGCAAATGACTTTTAACCCTGACAAATGCGAGGTGATGAGAATTGCACACCGCTGGATTCCACGTCCTCACTCCTCACGTACCAATTCTCCTGGTAAACTACTTAAAGCTCGACTTAAAGTCGCCAATACTGATTTATAGATCTGGTCAAACGACTTGAAGTGAAGCGGAAGAAGTCAACTCTGCCGTTAATGGCCGTTTTTATACTAGAGACGTCTGGACGAACTCGGGCAAGCATTTGTTGTTCGTCTGGTTATGCGTCCTTAGTATAAAGACGGGCACAAGACGCATTATGCGTCTAGACGAACTATGTTCGATTCTTCGTCTTAAGAGACGCACAACCGATGATAATTCGTCTAGACGCATAATGCGTCTTGTGCCCGTCTTTATACTGAGGACGCATAACCAGACGAACAATAAATGTTGATAGTTCGTCGCATTGGCCGTTTTTATACTAGAGACGCATTATACGTCTGGACGCATAATCCGTCTTCCACATTATTCGTCTAGTATTATTCGTCCCGTCTTTATACTAGACGAATAATGTAGAAGACGGATTATGCGTCCAGACGCATAATCCGTCTCTAGTTAAGCCGGTTTTCCACTTCAACCGTATCGTAACGTACCGTAGCATTTTCTTTTGTGGCGAAGTCTAATATTAGTTCCACTCTAATGGTCAGAAAACAAAGAAATACGCTACGATACGGTTGAAGTGGAAAACCGGCTTTAGGCTTAATTAAATTAAAACGTGCAGCAAGTCCCTCTAACGGCGGCTGTTTTTTCAAAGTTATATAACGGGACACCTGTCATGGTCCATTATCTGCCGGTAAATTAAGGATATAAAAACAGTGGCAGACACTATCCCAAGAAGAGCATCAAGATTAGCTTTATAAACAGATATGTGGAGAAATGCCATATGAACAACCGGTGTAAACTTCTAAAATGGGATACCCTTGAAAAACGTAGATCTTATCTATCTCTCGTCGAATGCTGATAAAACACTCATGCCGAGTGTTTAATCTCAATCAGGGTACAGTATTGCATAATTTCGTTGAAGTCAAACAAAAAATAAGAATTGAGTTCCACCTGACCACTCTTTCAGTCTCTTTGCAAAACAAATTAAAGAAAGCAAGAATTCTGATTGACAATATATGAATGAATATGAATGTAATAGATTGGGTAAAATACTTGCAATACGGAGACTAAAAAATAAAAGAAAAAGAGGAAAAGCAGGTGAATACACCAGATGACAATACAGCAGATGCCAATATAAGATTAGATATTGAAAGTGTGAGTGCATGCCATGTTCAAGATATGCTACAGAAAATGAAAGCTGTTAAATAAAGGAACAAAACAGATGAGGAGCAAAGTATAACATTTCATTCTATTGGATTTCCAATTTTTTTTTCATTCAGTTCTGTATGCTGTGAAAGTATAAAAGTAAAGTGACATTGCTGTTTCATACCGTTGGATTTGACCATCTATATATTGACCCGTTGAATGCTGTACTGTTTTATATAAGTTTGAAAAAAGTTCTTTAATATTCACATACAAATTAAACCTTTTGAAAACGATTCCGTGAAAAACAATATACCACCATTGTATTGTAAGTTATTGACTTATTGTTCAAAGGCAACTATATATTTCATATTCTTATATGCATTGAAGATGACGATTTAATGAAGTACGATTTAATTTAAACTATAGCCTAAAGGCTGGTTTACGCTATCAAAGCTTCTGCATGCATGATCACAGTAGGAATTTTCATGTAAATTCTAAGTTTTGAAAGATTAGTAAAAATTGTGGTTTAAGGGAACTGACTAAGTGTTTATCAATGAGTCAGTTTCCTCAAACATTTCTCGCAAATCCTTCACTAAACGGTAACCTAGAAATTACCGATGCAAAATTCCTACAGTGTGATCACATGTGAACACAGAAACATCGATAACCATGTAAACCAGCTTGAAGATATAACCATCTTGTATTGCAAAGGGGCTAAGAGTAGTAAGCGAGTATGCACAGTTAAATATGAAACATACTCCGAATCCGATTGTATCTTGTGGTCAGTGGCGCTGTCAAGGACGGGGGCGAAGAGGGCGGCCTCCCTCATCCCCAATGTTTTTCAGAGTGTAGTTTTACATTCGTTCAAATTCGATGAAAAATTGGGATGGTAAATTCTATAAAGCTCTTATGTGACTATGTCTTCCTATGAATTAGTAAATTGTCAAGTATTCTCAAATCAATATTTTACACTGTTATAAAAAGGTGATTTATTGAGACATTTACATTTTCCGCCCGATGCAGAAAATGTCTTTTCTGAGAGACCCAAAATTCAATTTGGACTAATCTAGTGAATTATTAAGTTGCCCCCCTTCCTCTGCCAAACTTGTGCCCTCAAGGCTGAGGTATCTACAAGAACGTGGTGATAAAAACTTCCGACCTACTGTAATACGGGTAAATACCTCTATCTATATTAAATGTATATTGTGCATGGTATGTGTTTTCGTCTTATTATTAAGGGCCCATGTAATATTAATAGTTTCCTTATTCTGTATCACTGGAGTGGAGCTTTTTTCGAATTAGTTACTGAAAGGGGAAACAATTTCACTAAAGTACTTGAATTTAATCGTGTGGTGTTTCGGATTCTTTTTTTTTATATAGTATATAAATCTAGACCGGCAACGGTTCCTCGAGGGCGGGTCAAGAGAGTTTCACAGCGTCAAAAAGAATATTATAAAATAAGCAAAACAAGTACTCCAGATATCTGAACTAGATGAATAATTTCATGACGTCTGCATGCCGGATAAGGCGCCATTTCCTCAAATACAAAGAAAGCCAATATCCATGTGGCATCAGTGTGTGGCACTGTTTTTTATTTATCCGTTTTCTTTCCTCGCGTTTCCCACACAAATCTGGGGGGGAGGCAATTTTTCTGTTTCTATTGATTCCCGACAAGCTTTGCAATCGTAAGTGAATTGATCAATTTTCATTTTGTAGTCGCCTAGTCGGTCAATAGAATGAGGCGGTGTTTTGTAAAATAAGCTCGAAATATCAACAAATTTGTTGAGAAGGCTTTCTTAAATACGAAGAAGAGTTGTAGAGTTTGTAATATAACTGTATTAGCGCTTGAAATTACTGCAGGACAGTGTTTCAAACATGGGTTGCACACTCAGCGCTGAGGACAAAGCCGCCGTCGAACGGAGTAAAATGATCGATAAAAACCTTCGTGCGGACGGCGAAAGAGCTGCTAGGGAAGTGAAGCTATTACTATTAGGTAGGTGGAGTATAATTTAATGCTTTATAAATGCTGAGTTTTGTATTTTTATGATATATTTATACGACAATATGCATTTAGTGGCTGTTTTGATCTGCTGATGTTCAACACCCAGTCAGTGACATTAATCTTTACCGTGTTGTTTCCAAACCTAAAATAATCCGGCAAATAATCTTGTTACAACACGGTTATGGCGTAAAGTGTGTTTGTCTGACAAAGAAAGGCTATAACATAGAAAGAAACTAGACTTTGTTTGACCTAGACACTTCACGATGCGACACTCTTGCTGTCTCATAAATTTCAACATTGATCAAGTGTACTTATTTTGAGTTCGAAAGATACGACAATATTCTTGGTGTTTCCGCCTTCATGTTAGGATTTATAGCTCAATAATTTGGCTAATATCATGAGCAAACCGCGTGCATAGAGGATTAAAGTGCTTCTCTACAACTACGAAACAAAAGAAATTCTATAATTGCGGTTGTTTCTTGCACTGGGACGTCACACCCCGCTCGGAATACATTCGTCTCGGCTTAGCCTTTCTTTTGAATATTTTATACCACTTGAAATTTATAATTTAACTGATCTTCTTCTCGTGCTATACTGAAGCTATATTTTACCAAGCTAAGCTCGCATTTTTAACATCTGTCATTTCAGACTACACAAAGTGTACAAGTTGCATCACTGTTTGTCATTTTTCTTGCAGAGAAATAGTCCGGGCCGGAACAATAAATTCGCGGCAAAAGGAAGCTACTTCTTTTCTCGCCAAATTGGCTATAGATTTAAAAAGGCATTTCGACAAATGAACTAGTTCCTTTGGGCAAGAAAAGCGCCGTTTTGGTGTTAAACGGCTGTGCAGATGTCCTTTGCCGTAAACTCATTTCACACAATAATATTCCGCCTTGGTTACAATAATTCATAATTTGTGACATTCATCGTACGTAAATTTCTATTCTTTCAATACCAAAAATCGATTTTTTATTTTAATAGAAATTTTATGAATACTGTAAAGAAAGCTCAATGCTTTCTTTTGTAAACGTACGTTGCATGCCCAGTTTTGGGAAGGAGTATTTATCTTAGCTTAATAAAAATGTTCTTTCTTTGAATATATAATTGAGTATTTTTCATTTGCGAAGTTTGGAAACAGGAAATGGCTAAAAATTGTTAGTCTAAATTGTAGTGCATTTAAATTTTGTGGTTTCGTGTTCACTACTTGCTAAACTTGCTAACTTGATCAGGAGTTTTGGAAATCTATATTTAGCACAGTCTATTGTCTTCCTTCGTGTTTGGTGTAATAATAAATTATTGATCTACTCCGACTTTCAGCATAATAATGAAACATGACATTTTCGCAGTACACTATATGTTTTCATTTTCAGCAGACGTGTCTTTAACAGCAGGTTGTTCCATTGACAGTGAATTATAGTTTTATACTGCAAGATTATTTTACTAAGAGCTGATTTGTTTTCTTACAAGTCAACTAAAGTAAATGAAATGCAAAAATACAAAGGTTGCCCTTTAATAGTCCATTGTCCATTAAACATTTACTGTACGTACTATTTTCGAAATGCTCATTGACTAATATGACTATAGAAACTGGCTGTTTCTATGTGACTTCCTGTGATTAAAGTGTGGATGTTTCACATCTGTTTTCTTTTATTCATATCAATGATCAGAAGTGTCATTTCATATCAATACAATGTACTAAGGACAAAAAAATGAACAACTATATGTACTGTATGTGTATAGTGTAATATATGCAGGGTATGGTATACCATGCCTAGCCTACTATATATATACTTATATATATATACGATACAGAACATATAATGCTATCTTTTCATGTCTTTTTGTGTTTTATTAAATAAATGTGCTCCTACTATAAATAGACAAAACTGAGTTAATTATTTTTGTGCGATCTCATTGGCCCTAATGTTTTATAACTGTAAACAACAGGAAACCATATGTTTATTCTGTAAAAATTAAAATAATAATTTTGGTTGATTGGATTTAGTGTATAATTATATCGATATAGTTGCCAATATTCATATCAGGATTGTGCCTGATTGTTACCCATGTGCTATAGCTAATCCAATAAGTACACTACAGATACTGTAGTAGTGAATATGCAAAATATTTGTATTTATAATACTCTTGACACTGTATTGTTTTGTTCACAGCTAGGTATAAATAATATGTATGATAAAACTGAAACACTTCTGTTACTAGGGTGATTGTGTGTGATAATAATAATAAAGCAGTCCTGTTACTAGGGTGATGTGGTTCTGATAAAAAAAAATTACAAAAACCAGCTGAAAAAAATTGAGTGAATAAATTTTTGACACACACTTCAAACTGCACTTGAAAATGTGCACAACACAACTCAAAATTTACTCTCGTTTAATTTGCCTCAAAGTGAGATTCAGAATTACGTTTTGTAAATTTGGAATATTGGGCGTGAAAGTTGCTTACTAAAGTACCGATGTACAGAACTAAAGTATCGAAGCACTGTGCATAAACTCGGTTAATTTTCATCGGTTAATTTTCATAATCGATTAATCGTTGTCAACAATCGATTAATATCGATTAATCGTATTGATAGTTAATTTAAATATGACAAGCCCATGGTAGTTTGACAGGTTTGTAAATTGTTACTAAACTTTTTACTAAATTTTTGGGGGTTGCACCAGTCCGTATACTGTAAATGTTTAAAATTGCGAGACTCAGACTCTTATGAATAATTGGTTTATGTCCGCATGCCGCAATGTTGGACGCAAATGGTAAAATTAATTCTTCTAATAAAACAAACTTTAAAGATACCTTCACAGCGCTGGTAAAATGCCCGATCAGACTATGGTAAACTTTGCATGCTGTGAGTGAAATTGATATTGCCCACAATGCTTTGAATCAATTTGTCATTTAATGTTTCATCACAATCTTGTTGCAATGAAATCCGGAAAGAAATAATTTACTGTAACTCATCCCCGCATCACGCTGTGTGATGTTATAGATGATCTGATTACTGTTGAGCATAATCGATTGTGGAAAAATAATCGATCAATCGATTGATCAGGAGCAGCTCTAAAAGATTTAAACTTTGTTTGACTAATATCAGTACAGTAATATGGCCAACATGTTTGAGCATTTAAGAAATATATTTCATTTATTGGCTGCTGTATATTAGTAAAACACTGCAAATTATGAATGTTTGCATACATGTGGTTCCATTAAACTCATTGAGCAGCAGTGCTCTCCCCTTGACATGATATTTTTTTGTTTTTGTACCAGCAAAAACAACATTGGAGTACATCTGACTACAAATCATAACTTGTTTGCATTATAGAAAAATTATGTGATAATATTATATATAAGATGGTGTCAACCATCATTACTTTGGGGACCCCATGGGTGGAGTGTGCAGGTGTTGGTCACAAATTTTAAAAAAATCATTGTATTCAGTTGCTACATGTTGCACAAGTCTGCCAATTTTTGGAAGATTCGGCAGGGCTTTCAAAATAAGCCAGTGGCCACCGGAGCTCCGGCGGCCGCTTCTGCTCTCCTTCCTCCACTCTAAGCTTTCAAGTTATTTTTCATCAACCTAGTCTACTTTATAGCCTGGTTATTGTCGAAAATGACATATCTTTTCTTAAAACTGATTATTTATTTGCCACCTTAAATCTTGAAGTCATCTTGTTGAAGAATGAAAGTAGTGATACATTATAATTTGGTTACAGAGCTCAGCTCATTTTCGGATAACTTAACATTCAATTTTAATTGGCTCTTGGGAATTTGTCCATGTTTTGTTTTCGATGCAATTCCCAAAGGTGGAAGAATGTGATTTCGACCGGCAATTTTTATTTAACGAGTATGTGGCCATTTCTCATTGTTACGATTTAAAAAGAGTATCATTGAAAAGCTAAGTAACTGTTCTTTCGTCCTATGTAAAAATTGAATTGTTTAGCCACGTTTATGATGCACGACAGCCTGTTGAATTTCCATCGCATTTTTTTAGACACCCTGTAGACCGCCCCACCCAAAAAGGGTAAATGACACAGAGATGAATGATTATCACTTTTTCAATTTTATAGAAGAACTTTATTTCAAAGTCAGTGTAGTATTTAAGCAACCCATAAAAATTTAATAACAAAAAATATAGTTAAACTGTTAAGTGTAAATTTAAATAATTACTGTACGTAAGAGTCAAATTTTGACTTTTATCCATCATTCTACATTTCTCAAGGGGAGGTTCATGGACTTTCAGGAGAGGTGCAAAAAGTCTCTGGGGATGCATAAAACGATCCTGATAAAAAATTTAATATCTAAATGTATTGCTAACAATTGTACAATTTTCATATTAGGTGCTGGTGAGTCTGGCAAGAGTACAATTGTGAAACAAATGAAGTAAGTGACATATTTATTCCACAAGTTAGTGTGTTTTAGTTAAAATTATTTGTGCACCAAATTATTTGTTGTGTTGTTCCTTCTTGTAAGTGTCTAATTAACATGTGCCTTATGATGTCTTCTTTGATATCTGTATATTTAATGCAGCTTTATCTTAATGTTGTAGATACCACAACAACAAATAAGTTGTTGAAATAATTACAGAACAGCTGCAACTCACATATATGTGTTCAATGCATGGTTATATCAGTCCCATTTCAGATTATATAACCAGAAGACCAGAAGTCAATTTCCCATCCAGATTATGGAGTTTTTGTACAGCAGTTGAGGCCACTCTTGGGTTTTTTATGATTACTGATTTCCCAATCTTGTATTTTTAAAAACCAGAAAAAAATATAAATGCTGTCATCAATTTTCATTATGAATAAGCTGATTCTATTGTTCTATTAAAAAGAAATGAATATCAGTGCATTCATTGTGTTTTTTTGCACATGTTTAGCAATCTTACAGTATCACATCATAGAGTGGCAGCTGCTATACAAATACGATCTTGCATTTATATTTCCCCTCTTAACTCACCTATCTCTTTATTGGAAATGAAATTATTAAGCAGGGTTCGTACAGAACTTGAAAGTCCTTGAATGTCCTTGAATTTGAAAACAAAAATTCAAGGCCTTGAATGTCCTTGAATTTGTAAAGAAGTACTTGAATGTCCCTGAATTCTTCTTGCTTTAGTTTTTGGATATTTTCTGAAATTGTTTGACATTCAAGACGGACATTTTGTTGAACTGATTTTGCATGTTCATATCTGACGGATCTCATTATAAAGTTACGTTTTGAACAATTCAACGTCAGATTTTGCTGATTTCTAATGCCTTCTTCAGTATTTAGTCCTTGAATTTGCTGATACACGGCCTTGAATGTCCTTGAAAAGTCCTTGAATTTGACTCTTCCTGACATGTACGAACCCTGATTAAGTGATAGATTAGCTCTTATCCATGACCATGTACAGGGCTCAAAATAATGTTTCATGTTATGTATGATCAAATAAATCTCATTTCCAGAGCCAACATGTGGTCGGTCACTATAATAACCCCGGCGTCATATAAATTTGACTGGTCATATATTAAAAATTTTGAGCCCTGATGTAAAATTTTGAGCCCTGATGTAAAATTTTGAGCCCTGATGTAAAATTTTGAGCCCTGATGTAGCTGGATTATACAGTATGTGTACTGTAGCTTAAATTAAGCTGGATTTCCTTCTAGTGGAAAATATTGTGTGTGCGGACACCTCTCTCCTCCGCAGAGGCTTACATGAAGTTTCTAGTGAGGGAAAAGTGAGCGTGCAAGGAGTGATGGGAAGACCTAAATAAATTAAGCCTCTGCGAGTTACTGCAATCAATATGGCGTCGTATATAATCGTTTGTAGCGAAGTTCGATCAACCATCGGGGGTGTTAAAACTTGTTTTTGACTTTCATTTTCAGGCGTACTTGAGTATCCTGGGGTGAATTCAATATCAATATCTTCTTCTGTCTATTTGCATCGAAAAATATTGAGAAATTGCAAACGAATATCAATGGATACGAGATATCTGATTATAAATATCCTCTTAATTGCAACATTTCTTTATAATTTTAAATGGCCCTATTGAACTTATTGAACTTCGATACTCAGATTATGAAGATTCATTTCAATTTCTTTCACATTTCCATCGAGTTTGCTTCAAAAACCATACTTCGTTGCATTAACTGGCAGAGCCTCCCCAACTTCATTTCAATCTTCCCATCACACCGCGCGCGCTCACTTTTATTCAGGAAACTTCATGTGAGTTATTTATAAATACTTAAGGAGGCTCTGCGGAGGAGAGAGGTGCGGACACATTGTTATATAAGACCATAATACATTAGACAAAAGAAAATGTCATAAAAAAGTAGAAACATTTTCAATTTGTACCAACTGTAAATCCAGCTTTAGGAGGAAGAGAAGACTGGCATGAAAGAATGCCAGAGATACTGTGACTGAGTACTTTTTCTACAAGTAGCTTCTCCCTGACTGGAAAGTTTGGAAATTGCACAACCAAGATTTTGGAAATTTAATCTTAATCTCTTCATAATTTATTGTCGATTTCAGGTAACTTTTCAAAACGCTGTTGCGAACTTGCCAATTACGTTATCAAGTTCGGAAATTAGGCGTGAACTTCGCAACAAAGTTCACAAGTTCATTTCAAAGTTCGAACTTTGATTGTAAACAAATGTACGAATTTCATTTATAAATTTATTTAAAAGGCATTTTCGTCTTGGCAGACCACTGGACCAATATTTTACTGTAGTAATATGTGCATACTCTGGGCCTTATACAGTAATTTCAACTTCAACTAGGAACACAATTGTTCACAATCAAAGTTTGAAATGAACTTGCGAACTTCATTGCGAAGTTCACGCCCAACTTCCGAACTTGATAACATAATTGGCAAGTTCGGGACCAGCGTGTTGAAAAGTTCCCTGAAATCGACAATAATATATCTCAGTTGCGTGATACAAACTTTCCACACTGGAGCTTCCCAAGTTTCATTTTAACACTCAAAAGCATCTGACATTCATCAAAAGAACTGACATAAATACTGGCCGGTAAATGTGTAAATGGAAATAATCTGCTTTGGTAGATTATTTGGTATTGTTGGCCACCAATTAATTAATATCAAATCAGCTAATCGGCACTTTTTAACGATCGGCTCTTGTCTAATATTCATGTGTTATTTTTCTCATCCAACCATATTTTATTACACTGGCTGCAGCCAGTGTCATAGAATGCCCTTCCTTGAAAATGGTTTTTTGGTTGTCACAAGTGTGACTTTCCATTGCGGCATCGTGGGCTCAGGATTGTGCAATTTAGCTAAAACATGCTCACGACGATTATTAGGACCAATTCTACACAATGTTAATCAGAACGACTTTCGTGTTTAACTACGTTACAAATCTTAGTCAGACGTTGCAATTGTGGGACGTATTTTATTATATTTCATTGAGCATGTGCTTGAATTTTTCTGTGTTTTTCGATATGATATCGCTGAACTCTATTGGTTTTGTATGGATTTTCATTATCCTCTGAATGTTTGTGATCATGAAGTGACGGCTGTCAAGAAGTGAAGAACATCTACATGTTTCAAATGATTTTTTAGAGTATTGCGATGGTATTTTAACAACCACAAGGCCAGTGTGAACGCCTGAGCAGGCGTCTTGTTTATTATAGTTTTGCAACCCATTTAAAAAACCAACTTGCAACATCGTTGCGAGTTAAAAAAACTGCCAACTATACAGCATATACTGTATACACATACAGCTTCTAGAGTAGTAAGAGTACAGCGTATTATGATGGATTTATTGAGAAACTACTTGTTATTTTTTGTAGAATTATTCATGAAAGTGGTTATTCACCTGAAGAATGCTTACAATATAAACAAGTTGTATATAGCAATACCATACAGTCAATGATAGCTATTATCAGAGCAATGGGAACACTAAAGATTGAGTTTGCTCAGTCAGATCGAGCGGTAAGTTACAGGTCTTAGTTTAATTTTCATCTTACAATATTTGACCAATTAAGAAAGAAAAATACTTGCTAATTCACTTCCTAAATTTGTTTTAAGCATGAACCTTTCATTGTCTGATTACAGTTTACAGACCTTTACACTGTGCTCTATTTTTGGTTCAGATAAATTTTGTGACAATCTATACACATTTTTCAATTGGTGTTTTTCTCACAATAAAAATTTAATGAACAAAATAATTATGCAAATAATATTTGGCCATTACCATTAAATGTTAGATTGGATTAATGTGCTAATTTCATTTATTTAGGATGATGCCAGAAACCTTTTTGCTCTGTCAGGTGGGATGGATGATGTTGACTTCAACGATCAATTAGTTTCATTAATGAAACGTTTATGGAATGATTCTGGTGTGCAAGCTTGCTTTGGACGATCAAGAGAATATCAACTAAATGATTCTGCAGCATAGTATGTGTAATTATTTAAAAACATTAAACATGTATAACATGGAGGGGTTAATTGCAAGTGGTTGCAAATGCAGCACTATAGGGTTTTATTTTATTATAACCCTTTATATTAATATGCCAGAAAATAAGGTGTGCCTAATGCCTATTGGAAAAACATGGGAAAATCAATAGACCCTCCCCAAAGGAAATGTTCTGTTTTACAGTAAATTTGACCTGACCTTAGCAGATTGTAGGAAATGCATACGTCTTGTATTGGGTCATTCCAGAAAATATCCATACCACCCCCACGGAGGAAATAGGAAGTTAACCCCCCTACCCCCTTCGGATGTCCTAATACATTTACTATTACCAGAAACAATTTTTTCTCCCCTCCCCCTCCTAAACAGCAGAAATTTCCTTTGTGGGGGGAGTATGGATCTTTTCTAGAACGACTCATTGGTATATACAGTATGTATGTATGGATAGTGGCTGCATGCTTGTTGTCAAATTACAGCAGGTGAATGTAAAGCCTAATTATATCCTACCGAAATGTGTATGGTGCATTGAACTTTTGACATCAACGCTTATGGTGTTGCAAAGATACAGTGAATACCATAACATTTGCCTCCACATTGTTTAATTCCATACACTTCATTTAGCTTCATAGCTTGTTCATTTACTGTGTTACTGTATACTAATCATTTCAGTTATCTCAATTCTCTGGATCGGCTGGGTTCAAAAGACTATTTACCAACAGAACAAGATGTACTAAGGACAAGAGTTAAGACAACAGGAATTGTGGAAACACATTTTACCTTCAAAGATCTTCACTTCAAGTATGTGTCTTTCTGAAAACCAATTATTTCAATTTGCTTTGTTGTTCTGGCTAATCCAGTGTCTGTTGTGATTTGTTACCCCAGTATCAAGGGTGTAGGAAAAATATTTCCTAAACTCATTTAACAACTGTGATCAAAAGACAAACAGCACCATATTGTTGTATGGTAATAAATGCCTATGCAACTCAACTATCAATTAGCAACTATCAATTATAATTATCAACTATCAATTAGCATGGTAATAAATGCCTATGCAACTCAACTATCAATTAGCAACTATCAATTATAATTATCAACTACAATTAGCATGGTAATAAATGCCTATGCAACTCAACTATCAATTGAATTCAGACAGATTATTCAATACACCCTTTATTGACAGATTATTCAATACACCCTTCTTGAAAGTACTTAGCCCTGGCTATAGAACCTCAGCATGATAGCATTGCATGTGCAGTAGGGTAGGAATCAAAGTGTATTACATTTTTCAAGGTAAAACAATGGGACAAGTGTCCTGTCGTTTTGACATAGGATAAGGTCCACAATAAATTTTACGGGATGCTGGATAACACATAGTTTGAGAAGGGAAAATGGGATGAAAGAAAGAAAAATGGAGGGATTTGGGATTTCAGGAAGTCCCTGGAGACAGAATGAGAAAAACTTAGGGCAAGTGGATGAGGCAGACGGAAATTAATTTCAATGGCCATTCTATTTTCGTGAGTAATAATTGTTAAGAGAGTGTAATTTTCTGTTTTCAATGTAGTCACCCATATACAGTATTTTTGTGAGTTGGTACTTATCTGAACAGACATTTTCAAGTGACCCTTCTATTTTTAAAGTTATTGAATAATTAATTTTCTAGCATTTTTCAGCTGCATGAACTGCAATTCTTGCACTTTGTCAGATTTTTTTATATTTGATGATGTAACTACAGTAAACGTTTAGTTATCTGCAATCAGACAAGATCCAAGAAATTTCCCACAACCAAACCACATGTCCTTTATTTGACGACATTTTTTACAAATCCTGCAGATTACAGTAAAAGTGTCCCTAGCTTTATGTTGTGATTTCACTCAAAGTTCAAAAACTTACTTCAAAACACATAACATAAACTAATCTAGCATCAAGCTGAAAGGGTTTACATTTTGTCAAAGGGTATGCACATATGTCTATTTCCCGCTATATTAACATGTGCAGGCTTTAATTTAGTTTCAGTTTCGTTTGTTATATGTTGTTAGTTATTTCTTGTATATTTCAAATGACTTATTCGAATTTTATAGAAAATATAAAAAAGATTCAAATACTAAATAGAAATTTTAAAGCTGAGTATGATGTCAATGGTGAATAATTAGACGTATTAGAAGCGTATATAAGGAACCCTTTAGTCAATGGCCTTAGGTGTTGGCATCATCAGAGCAACCAGCTTTCACCCCTTAGATTGTGAGTTTGATTAAGATATTCATTTGAAAAGAGTTGGTTAACGCTCTGCCGAAAGTCATGGTTCTCCGGGTATGCCAGTGTTCTTCCACTTGGAATGTTTAGAGTGGATTGGGATGTATTGTGCTAGAAATATGACTGTAACTGAACATGAACAGGGATTCGTATTCACTTCTCTCTCCACTCTTTAATATAAAAGCGTAAAGTTAACAAATGTCACAACTTTCAGGATGTTTGATGTTGGTGGACAAAGGTCAGAAAGAAAGAAATGGATTCACTGTTTTGAAGGAGTGACTGCTATAATCTTCTGTGTGGCGTTGAGTGCTTATGATCTAATGCTGGCTGAAGATGATGAAATGGTATGTTAAATTCTCTTTCTGCTTCTATGCAGTGTACATCATGTAAAGTAGCAGCAGGCACTATGAGGGGTGAAGTGCAAGGGGAATCTCCTACCCAATGCTTAGTCTCCCTACATAGCTTTTATTGCTCAACTTACAGGGTCCTCAAGTATAAGCAAACAATATTTAAGCCTGGACAGGGGGCGACACGAGTGACATTTGATCGTTTTAAACATTTGTGGGGCAGGCATATTAGTGCTTTTCTAATATACCCGCGGAGGAGGTAGTTTGTGGGTTTAATAATTTGTCGACAATAATTTGTCAAACAAGATGTGGGGTTAATAATTTGTCAACAAGGAAGATTTGGTTAATGGTACCCTTCGCCACAGATGATAGATTATACCAGATGTCTCACTCAGCCAAAATTGTGTCCGCGATTTTTTATGAGCACGCGTTGGCCACCATTTTGGCAGTAAGTGTAATCCACGCCATGAAACGTGAGCAATCACGCATTTTGGCAGTAAGCGCCATTTTGGCAGTAAGTGTCGCACGCGTCATCTGGCGTGACAGCTTCGCGAAAATCGCGGACACGAAAATCATAGGGATAGATACACAGTGAGACATCTGGTACAATCTATCATCTGTGCCTTCGCTGCACAGACAAAGGCGTTCCATGAAGTGAAAAGTCTCATGGAACGCCAGGTAATATACGGTTATTTAACAATTATTCGCCGAAGGCGAGGTGATTATCGGTGAATGAAAACCGAGACGAAGTCGAAGTTTTCACAATAATCACCGAGCCTGAGGTGAATAATTGTTTTAGTATAATTTCATAGGTGATTATTTGGGGGGGGGATTCACATTTCTTCGTCATTTAATAGGCAATTCCAGCTATAGACTAAATTTTGATCTAGGCAACAAGAACAAAATCCATGCATCACCACAGCTGGAAAGAGCATGTTAAATGAGGTTACATAGTAACCAAGGTTAATATCATAGGAGCCGCGCGCAGTCTGGGTACGACATGTGCCCTCAGGATATCGGATGTAGCGAGTGCCAAGCAGACTCTCAGGTCATTAGCTAATTCGTAGCCAACTGCAATGGTTATGTGCTCAGAGAAGAAGCAATTTTTTTTTTCATGACTACAATTGATTTTCAATTTAATCCCCATCGAACTAAGTTCGGTGTGATAAGGTGCAGACGTTCGGTGGTCAGGTCCTGAATGGACAGGTCCACGTGATTCGGACCTGAATCCAAGTAACTCAAATCCGGAGATCATTAGCTGACCACGTCTGCACCTAACCATCCACACGGGTAAGTATGGTGACGACAGATATTAACATTAGTAAAATTGATATTTGCTGTGTTGGTGTAATGTACTCAGGTGAATAAGATGCTGTGTGATGTTACTCTGAGTGTATATCCACACCGGGCAGGCTTGAAAAATATGCCTGGCCACGGTGGGATTCGAACCTACGACCTTTGGAATACTAGCCCAACGCTCTGCCAACTGAGCTACGCGGTCAGGTCGGTTCGAGTATGCGATATTTCGATTGATTATTAGATTACACTGATATCGAAGGAACTAGACTTAGTTCCGAAATATCGTATACTCGACCGACCTGACCGCGTAGCTCAGTTGGCAGAGCGTTGGGCTAGTATTCCAAAGGTCGTAGGTTCGAATCCCACCGTGGCCAGGCATATTTTTCAAGTCTAGTTCCTTCGATATCAGTGTAATCTAATAATCATGATATTTAAAGTTTGTTTGTTCACTGCAACCAGGTATATCAATCATGTTTCACTCGCTACTCTGGTTTAAATAAATGATTACAAGGCCCAGTCGAATTATAATCAAGACCCAACGTTTCGACACTCCAGTCTAGTGTCTTCATCAAGGGTGATCTAAAGATGCAATCGTGGCTTCTTAAATACCTAAGGGATGACGTCACCTGCCAATGAGATGCATATATTCATCTGGCAAATAGGCACCGTCATCCCTATTCAAAGCATGATTACTCATATTTATATGCCACGCTTCTAAGCAAAGTCTTTGACCATAGCGATTGTTTGTGGTAATTACTTTAGAGTTTTCCCACGCAATCTCGTGTTTGGTGTAACATACATGTTCGGCTAAAGCTGATTTTCCCTTGTCTAAAGTTGAAACAGCCTTTTGATGTTCTTTTAGCCGTGTACCAAACTGGCATTTCCATTTCCTTCTGCCTTTTTTTTCAACGCAAACATGCAAATTTTTCGGCCGCCATTACTGAGTTGTCAATTAGCGAGATGTTGATTTCTTAGCCGGATGTGACGTCATTTACTCAACACGCTTCTTTCCCGAAAGAGAAATTAATATTATCAAAGGCTTATACTAGGCTGTTTTTTGTTCAAAATGATGTCTTCTGACGAAAACCACATCTCAAATTTTGCAACACAATCATCTTGCGAACTCTCTTTTGCCGAAGACGTTTCTTGTGATACGGGGGTGATGTAAATATGGAGAAAAGTGTGGATTTGTGCGAGGCCTATGATACTTCAGTCGAAGCTCTTGCCACTGAAAAAACATAATACACGAAAAGTACTATAACTGAGAGAGAGAGCAAAAGCAGCAAACACTGTCTGCTGGATTGTCTGGGGAAACCTCAACGGGCACCTGGTACGTTTTGGATTGTATTTATTTACGTTTTGGTTTATATATTTGTGACATAAAACAAACATGTGATGGCCATGTAAAACAAAACAAATAATGGTCACTGGTCTCCTTATAAAAAATCATTGTCACCTCCGTTATATTGCACGAAACGTCTTCAGTGAGAGATGGCTTAAAGATGACTGTGTTGCCAAATTGGAAATCCTAACTCACGTAAGAAAACATATTAATTTGCACAAAGTTGTGGGAAATATATTTCAATTATATATATTAATAAATATATTATATACTTCAATAGTATACTTCAATAGTATACTTTAATATATTAATGATCCATAGGTATAAATGTGGTTAATGTGTCCTGGCTCATTGTTGTTTATGTGAACCTTGTAAGAAAAAATGCTGGAAGAAAACATGCATGACTGCTGCTTATTAAACTGAGCATCCAGCATTTGATATTGGTTGTTTGAAACATTGGGTGTTAAAACTTCCTGGTTTAAGTTACAAAACCTGATTAAAAGGCTGCCAAATTATACCACTCTGTATACCGAAGGGAAAAAGAGTGAACCAGACTAAGTATTTCAATGTGTTATGTAGTTCTAGGCAATACCCCAGGGCTGCTAATGGAAGAGATTTAGTTAATTATGAACCCCCACCCCTCTAGATTTTTCTAATTGTCACTGACAGCTTGTTTTTCCCACCCCTATGGACATTCCGAACAGTGTTTTACTACTATCATACTTTGAAGCATGATGTCGGTGTTTTAAAAAATATCTCGGCAAAATGTTCATTGTTCACATATAAACAAGACAGAAACCGTATCTTGGCATATGCACAGCAAGGAAGGGGGTACCTTCTTGAACTGTTGGTATAGCCCCACACAAGCTTCACTACTTGATATGCAACTGCCCTAAGAAACATACTTTCAAAAAGAAAATTTATATTAATTTATATTAATTTATGACAGCTTTAGAATTTAGTAATCCAAAAACTATCATGTTATTTGTGAGCTGTGTTCTGCATAAAAACACCAGGATTCATAATACAAGATCCTTGCTTGGCTTACATATAACTTAGCTATAGGCTTTTCAAGTTTTCTTGTTCACATGACAGGATATTTCAGTACCTTGCTCATCTTTACAGGGATTCAAACATTACTAAATTCAGAATATGATGCTCAGATCATGACATTGTATCAGTTTGGCTGCCCCTGGCTGATGAGAATTTCTTACCACTCATCGCCAGAGTAGAGAGTGCTCTTTTTCTCACCAACCTACCTGGTAGTCATTCTTTTTAAAGAAAAATATGCAAATATGTCTGGGGCTTGCCTTTTGAGGGAATGCTTAATGCCAAAAATTACTCGTACATGACTCAGTCAAATTGCATAGTTCCAGGAAATAGCCATACCCCCCACACCCCACCCTGCTACAGAAGAGATCGGAAATTCGAGAGGATAGGGGGTGGTGTTGACCATTGCATCAAGATTTTCAATGGAATGGGGGTATACTAAAAGTCTTGATATTTCCAGAGGGTATTCAAATACAACCAATATCAAATGCTGGTCATGCATGTTTTCTTCCAGCATTTTTTCCTTACAAGGTTCACATAAACAACAATGAGCCAGGGCACAGTTACCACATTTACACCTATGGACCATTACTATATTAAAGTAATTTACTATTGTATTGAAGTATATATATTGAAATATATTTTCCACAACTTTGTGCAAATTAATATGTTTTCTACTTTTCTTACGAGAGTTAGGATTTCCAATTTGGCAACACAGTCATCTTTAAGCCATCTCTCATTGAAGACGTTTCGTGCAATATAACGGAGGTGACAATGATTTTTTATAAGGAGACCAGTGACCATTATTTGTTTTGTTTTACATGGCCATCACATGTTTGTTTTATGTCACAAATATATAAACCAAAACGTAAATAAATACAATCCAAAACGTACCAGGTGCCCGTTGAGGTTTCCCCAGACAATCCAGCAGACAGTGTTTGCTGCTTTTGCTCTCTCTCAGTTATAGTACTTTTCGTGTATTATGTTTTTTCAGTGGCAAGAGCTTCGACTGAAGTATCATAGGCCTCGCACAAATCCACACTTTTCTCCATATTTACATCACCCCCGTATCACAAGAAACGTCTTCGGCAAAAGAGAGTTCGCAAGATGATTGTGTTGCAAAATTTGAGCTGTGGCTTTCGTCAGAAGACATAATTTTGAACAAAAAACACCCTAGTATAAGCCTTTGATAATATTAATTTCTCCTTCGGGAAAGAAGCGTGTTGAGTAAATGACGTCACATCCGGCTAATAAATCAACATCTCGCTAATTGACAACTCGGTAATGGCGGCCGAAAAATTGGGTAATCTCGCAGTGCTCGGAAGACGCACTGTGATTGGCTGTTAGGTGAAAGGGTTTTCCCTACACGATTTTCGTTTCTCAAAGGCGGAAGTGATTCCAACCGTAATCCTGCCAAAATAGCCGTGACGGTTCCAGTGGGTGCATTGGTTGCGTCGGTTGCAATGGGTGCAGTGGGTGCAGTAGGTGCATTGGGCGCAGTGGGTGCAGTGGGTGCAATGGTTGCAGTGGTTGCAATGGTTGCAGTGGTTGCAATGGGTGCAGTGGGTGCAATGGTTGCAATGGTTGCAATGGTTGCAATGGTTGCAGTGGTTGCAATGGGTGCAGTAGGTGCAATGGTTGCAGTGGGTGCAATGGTTGCAGTGGTTGCAATGGGTGCAGTGGTTGCAGTGGTTGCAGTGGGTGCAATGGTTGCAATGGGTGCAGTGGTTGCAATGGGTGCATTGGGCGCAGT